ATTCTTCTAAAATGTACACTTTCATCAAATCATCATCTTTAGGAGATGAGCTGGAAAGTCTCAAAAATTATAGCATATGACAGGAAAAGCAGAGGAGGTAAGGGGAGGGTACTACTGACACCCTGAGGTGACTGAATATGTTACATTAAAACATCCCTACAAAACCAGTCCAACTACGCTGGGGGAAAGGAAGAATCCCAGAAATCAAGTAAGCATTGAAGCAAAAAGGTCTTCCTGCACTCCTGAAGTGACTTGTGAAGTCCAAAGGCAGAGGAATAATCAAATACACTATTACTGTACAACAGTAAATACAACTGACAGATAGTTCAAGTCTGTTTCCTTCAAAGCTTGGGAACACCCACAGATTGGGTACCCAGTTTACAGAATTGCAAGCTGTTACCGAGACCTGCAGGTGCACTTCCACTCAGTAATCTCATCCCTCCCATAAACCTCACCTACAAAAAAAAAGTGGGTTTGTGTCTCAGCTGTGTTTGGAAAGTCCTTCTAGAATTTCACTTATCTCTCTGGTTAGCATGTCTTTTTCTAATTTCCAGTCTAAACATATTCAAGATACACTTAAGTCTACTTGATTTTCTATCTGTATTATTATGTTCTATTCCTTCACTCATATCTGAACCCTCAATGTATTTTAAAAAGTAAACATTTCATTTTGTTCTGAAATCAAGTAAATCCCAATCAGTCCTATAACAGGGAGGTATGGAGGCACACAATACAATTACTCATCATCTGTAACTCTCCCAACTTTAAATAGATCATATTTTGATGTAAGTAACCAAACCATATATGATAGTTTAAATGAGGCTTGTACAACTGCGCAAACACTTCCTTGTTCCAACTTCCTAGGCACAGTCCGAAATCGCTTTCAGCACCTGGATTTTTTTTTTTTTTTTTGTAGTTCCATCAATAGTGGCACCTTGGTCCTCTCAGTTTAAGCTCCATAACAACCTATGAACAGACCTTCACAGGAGAGTCCATCAAACCCAGCAGTCCCTGTTAGACACTAGTAGCCCAGGAAGCACCGAGCTAACCATCCCATGGGAGAATTTCCCAAAACTCCCAACTGACCCCCAGACACTTGCAGTTCACTCACTTCCTGAACAAAAAGTAGTCTATACTTTTCAGGACCTGCTACACTTTCTTCCCATAACGCTGTCCTTTTGTTATCTGCACCTATGTGAAATGCTAGCATCCACCTCCTGCCATAACTCAGACTCCACAATAATCACCAAATGCTACGAAGACCCTTCCTTTGTATTTGCTGAGCACTCGCCATCCCTAATTTCATTCCCTGCCTCTGACTCTGGAAAAGAGAACGATCAGTGGGTCCCTGCTCAGTCTCAGCAGCCCCAGGGAGTTTTTTTCAGAGCTCTATCTCTTCACTATGCCAATGAACGCTAGTTTAATAGTTCCTTGGAAGATACCTGTGTCATGCTTTCCATCCTCCAAATTTCCTTAGCTCCTGCTGTACCTGAGATGGGGAAAAAGAACTGCACAGTACTCAAGATGCAAGAGAAACATAGGCTTACATGGTAGAAATGTAAAAATATCACATGGCAGAAAATATCCATTTTCAGGATATGTTTTGTACCTTTCCTTACACTACTTGCTTTTTTAAAACCATTACTGACACTAAAGTTAACATTTTCAAAACTAAAGTTAACAGTCTTAGAGAAGTATCTTTTAAATTTGACTGGTCTAGCTATGCCCAACATTTTGGTCAGTGAATGGCAACACTCAGCTCAGCATTCATTACCTCATATGTGGGATTTTTCTCGTCTTTGTTTTGCATCTCCCTGCAGTGAATCTCACCTGCCATTGCCTTGCCCACGCACTTTTTTTTTTGCAAAGTCCCTCTACAGTTTTTTTACACTCAGCACTCATTTTCAGTGCTCTGAAAAAAAGCATCATCAGCACACTCCTGTCATCTTTTCCAGTTCAGTTATCAGTTGAGTATCACAGGATTAAGCACAGATTCTTTTGAGACCCTACTGCTATCATTCTCTCAGAAAACTGATCAACTAGTCCTACCTCTGGTTTTGTATCTTTTGACCAATTTTTTGTTGATCTGTAGAGTGCTCCTTTCATCTAATTGAAGCACAAATTCTTAAGTGTACAGTAATGAAGTACCACCTTCTCACCTTTTTGGCTTTAATAACTAGTCCTCAGAGGGTTAGCCATAGAGCATAGCTTACCCATATTTCACTGGGGAGGGCCCATTTCTGGATTCATTTGCTCCTTTCTAACACCATGACATCATTTTGGCATGACTTTGAGGCTGCTACTCTGGAGGTCGAACCATGCTAAAATGCTCCCTTTTTTATCTCTTTCTCAGTAGTTTTAGGATTCTTCAAAAAGATAAAGCTTTGTAGTTCACTAGCTTCAATAGTGTGTCAGTGAACCTTTCAGTGTTCCTGAATTTCTCAGAGAAGCTAACCTTGAGGACATTGAGCTCTCCCAGTCAGCACACATCTCCCAGTGGGACGTAAGGCTGATGCTCAGTATATTTTGACACACTTCAAGAAGCTGGGCTGTCACACCATGTGCTGGCTCTGACTGTAATTCTTCTGTGAGGTGGGATGAGCACTGAATGCATCAGTTTGCCTTTGTACCAGGTTGAGCTGACCCATAGTAAGTGCATCGCTGCACTCCTCCCTCCCATAGCCAAAAAACTGTACAGTTTCATACATCAGCTACCTCCTGGACCTCCCCTTACTTCATTACAGTTATTACTCTGCCTTCAGCTTTGTATCCGTGGCTGTGCTTCTGCTACAACACCTATCCTAGTTGAGGTTTCTTACCTCGAAGTAACATGACTGCTCACTTGGTGCCTGAGATCTGCACTGGCTTGCTTCCAGGCTTTTGGTTTGTTTGGGGACTTTTGGAGTGGAGGAGGCAGATGGGCTGGTTATGCGAAGATCAGTTCCTCAGCTGCTACAGTAACCTACTTCTTGGTAATCTTGCAACTTTCTATTCCTAAGGTAAGGTTAACGTCCACACCTGCAGCAGATTCAAACTTAACAGAATAAGGTTCAGAACTTGTTATTTAAAATCTCAGGTGTAATTTTCCCAGAATTTGTAGAATTTGGATACCTAGGCTCTAAATTATTTAAATTGCAATGCTCTGGTAAAACAGGTGTTCATGAAAATTATGTAAGTTACGAAAGCTTCAGCTATGTGCTACAACCAAATTCTTTTAAGTCAAACTTCCATATGCTGAAATCCTAATTTGTAGTTACACCCCAGCTATTAGTCCCTAACCAGATAGGCAGTGTGCTTATTATTACATTTCATCCTGTCTTTGTTGTACTAATCCACAAAGTCAACAAAGTTCTTCCCTATAATATTTCTGTCCTCCACAGCATTACAGGAGTTTAAAAAACTGTATCAAAGACCTTGTGCCAAGGTTACTAAAGGAAATACTACAGAAGACTGGTCACAAGACCTGCCCCTTATGAACACCTCTTAGAAATCCCCTGCAACCTGGTAGTTCACCTCTCAGTACATCCTCTCGCAGTCCCGTCTTTTCCCAGCTCCTTATCTGCTTAAGCCAGCTTCTTATAATTCCTGTATTAATCTGCACCATCTCCACTTTAAGTAAAATTTCCTTTGGGAACTATACTGAATGAAAGCTTCCTATAAATTTAGATAGCTTTGGCCCACTGCATTACTGTAGTCCGAGATGTTCACTATTTTAGCAAAAGGAAACATTAGGCTTGTCAGACTAAATCACGTTCTGATCAGAATTTTGCATTTTATCGCACTTATGATGATGTTCTCCATTACTCCTTTTACAAAACTTGTCCTAAGATATTACACAGTGCCGAAGTGACCTAATTCGCATGTACTTTTCAGGATTTCTTGTTTGCTCTTTTTGCATACATGTGAGTATTCACCAGTCAGACTACATTATTCCTATACTGAAATTAACATTAATAAACAAATTAAAATTTTCTGGTAGACTTCTGGTGACTAGAGGAAAAATCAGAAAAGTAACCAGTTTCTACAGAGGTGGTAACTAACAAAAACATGAGCTTTCCTCTCCTTTACTCATCCTCAATTAGAATCAGCAACAAACTCCCAACTGAAGGGAAACCAGTCATTTAGTACTCCAGAATGATTTTACAGCTTACTAGTTCAACAGCAATATTAAACCAATAGTGGAGCATTTAGAAGTGAAATGGAAATGCTGACATGATAATTGCTTTGGCAAAAATTTGTTCATGTCATTTTACAACTGTTTAATATTGTTTGTTTTTAACCTGATGGGACAGGTGTGCTACCTTGTTCATACTTTATCTGTATTTTTCATAGAAAAGAAAATACTTTTTTCATTTAAGTTTGCATTGCCATCCAAGTTCAGTGAAATCTGACAACAAAAAGGAACAGAACATATTTCTACCTTCTCTTATCTTACTACTCCTTGTTTGAAGTCCCAGTTAGCAATTTACAAGTGAAAACATGTCTTGAAGAGAGATAACTCTGGTCATGATAGTTGTATTTCCAACAAAACCAACCATCTTTTCCCTGTGGTACAGCAGAGCTGCTGACCTGATTTCCATCTTGTGATTGAAATCAACAAATTCTTAGTGCCATGGAGCATGCAGCAGCCATAATTCCAAAAGCCTCCTATCAACAGATTTTCTATAATTTCCCTACAACATTTTCTGAGTTAATATTTCAAAGACATGACTTTCTGTCACAAATACATCGTGCAAGCATTATTCCCAGTATAAGTGTCTATACAGACATCTGAAAACATTGTTACTAAATTTAAAAACAAAAAACTAAATGGAATATAAGGAAAAAAAATGCAGTTTTCAGAAAGTGCAGCAAATAAAGTGGTAAATAAAAAATCCCAACCCATTCAAAAGTGAACTCAGACTCAAGGAATGCAGGTTATTAAATGGATTATTGGAAAGAGTAGTTTGAAAATCAATTTCACCAAAAGCATGCCCATATTAAAAGGGAAATTATGGTACCTTAATTGCACTTCTTAGCCATAGCTGTTGAGACTATATGTTGATCACCTGGAAAGCAAAAAATAGAAGAGTAATAATATTGTGCATATTTCAATTACTGATTAAGTAGAGCAACTCTATCACATATTAATCCTTTATTAAAAGAGTTTTATCCTTCTTATTTTAAAATGGAGAAAAGCAGAACACATAGCTTTTGTTATCTGCTATTTTATTCCACATAGAGGCAGCTTCAAATAAGAAAAATAAGAAGAGAATGATGCCTGAGGTTTTCATTAAATAGTTTACATATTTTCATGAAAGCTGTCAACTCAGAAACCAAGGAAAATTCATACAAGCTTTTATCCTTATAAAATATCTACCCTAAAACATATCTATCAGGCTCTTATCCCTAATTTGTTTAGACTCAAATATATTCTCTACCCTTCCACAACCTAAAATATTTAACAGTAAAATCTCTGACTGGTGCTTCACTATGTGTATATGGGTTCTCCCTGGGATGGAGTACATAACTGGTGGATGTAGTAGCATTCTGGGTGCCTTTTCTCTGGTGTTTACCCACGTGAGACTTGGAATGTCTATAAATGTTGGGGGATTCAAGAAGCATCTGGGCCTCCAGACTGACTGTCAGGGTTGGAGGTTTCACCTTTCTCACAGCTTCCTGGGGAGACGTGCAAGGACCTCTAACAAGGAGTGTCTTCCAGTGGGCACAGGGCAGAGACCAAAGGGCTCCTAATGGTATAAGACCTGGGACAGTAGGGGGCAGAGGCATTAGGAACCCACTGGGGAAACTGGGTGGCCACTGGCTAGGCCACCTCTACATAGGTACTCCTCTTGCCTACTCTCCCATTTTTTCCCTCTGTAGCTACCCCTCTTGCCTCATCTTGCTAACACCTTGTGTAAGTGCATGAGCTTACCAGCTATCAGTATAGCAGTACCTACATCAATGTGAGAATGTGACTGTAAGTTATCCGTATTTTAAACCTAAAGCAAGACTACAGTTCTAAATGCTTCCAGGCTTCAAGGTTATACACAGCCTAAAATAAAATCTGAAGTGAAAAAGTTGTACATGGTGCCACTTTCATACTAGGCATACAAAATACGCCTAAACCAGACCCACCGCAAACAATTCCAGAATCAAAAGGCTTGCAATGACCAAGGCAGAGCTGCCTGCTGCAGCTTAGGCCAAGCTCTGCTTGCTCTGTACAGCAAAAATCTCAGGTATGAAACCAAGTTTGAAATTGCATTTAATAGGATCTTTTATTTTGCGGTGGAGATTTTAAGTTGTTACTGGTTGGCTTTAAAAATGAATTGTACAGTTGCTGGGCTCATTCCACCTCTCTCTGTCAGCAGAATTCAGGTCTTTACTAAAAGAGCATCCATCTGTCAGCATTATCTTTGGACAGTTTCACATGAAGCAAAGACATTTTGCAGGATGAATTTTTCTCTTTTACTTTAGTATTTGTAAGTTATCTACATAATAGGACTCAATTGTCCAGAATATGCAAACAGCTATGACTCAACCAATAAAAGAAAAAAAAACTTATTCTCAGGGCTGTTAATTGACAGCACAGAAGCTATTTGTTATATTGGAGTTAGCCAACTTGTCATGCTCTTAAAGCAGAAAGCACATATATTTGGGTATACATGGTTTGCTTTGCAATAACTGAAACTGTTGTTTTGTTCTGAGGTGGAGCACACGCATGGTAGGCTGGAAATTTATAAAATAACTCATGGCTTTTAAGGCTGATGGAAACTTGTGGGAATACATAGAAGTTGTGTGGACTTAAAAAAATCACACAAGGAGAAACAACATGGTATTTTATTAGCCTTCAAAATTTAACTGCTTAAGTAAAACGTATTAAGTTTCATAACAAGACACTTTATGATTATGGGAGAACATAACTTTTCCCCAGAGGAGGTTTGCTTGACCAAATAATTTATCTCTACTATACATATATAAACACACACATATACATACACACACACAAAAAGATACAACTACACAAAAATAAGGAATAAACAACGTGCAGTTCATTACAACAAACATTTGTCCATATTTCTGAAGACATCAAGCAATTCTACTTTTTTTTTCCTTTTTAAGGGAAAAAAAAAATAATACTTCCAGCATACAAATGTATTACTGAGAACTACTTCTGAAAGAACTCGTATTCTTTCCTTTAGTAATGTTGTTTTAAAATTGAAGATGAAAGGATAGGTGCTCATCAAGTATGAGCTCTGCTCTGGATGAAGTACAGACATCCTACCAATGCCATGGTTAGCACTGGCTTGACATTCCACCAGAATCCCACAAAAATCCAAGAGTGTTAAGGCTGCAATTAGTCTGCCCAGACAATGACCAGTCTTCCATGTGTTTAGTAGAGGGAGAGGAACAAAATGAATTACATTGTCATGGGAACTGAGTTTACTACTTGCTTTAGTAAGAGATTAATGCCTATTGTCAGCAGATTTTATGATAAATTATCATAATTTTGCATTATTGTAATGAAGATGCATCATGCTGTGAGTTGTTCACACACTGTAGAACACTTTTCCTCTAATCACCAAGGGCTTTTAGTTCTGTATATTATTTTACAAAAAGTAGGCTGTTTAGATTGTGATTGTTTCCGATTTTAACATTAAAAAGAAAAGAGACAAACACTTCAGCTTGGAGTCTTTTACAGCACTAGAAGATAACACAGCTAAAGACTGCAGCTATTACATCAGCCTGTGATTTGATGCAAGAGAATCAGATGAAAGCAGGTAATGCTGTTGCCATTTCATCTATACAATCTATAATTTGGGGTTTTACTTTGGATTTTACATCCCCACCATAAGTGGTCTTCAAAGGTATGTGAAGGATCAGTCACTTATTTGGACTGTCACACCCCTATTACGGGGCACAGATAGTTTTCTGCCCACTGGAACAAGGCTTCTGGTTTAGTTTCCTCTAAAGGAACCCCATTCACATGCATCAAGACACTCTGAATTGACACAAAAATGCAATAAACAGGAATAACCAAACAATTCACTTTAAAACCATGCTACTGCTCCAAACTAATTTCTCTAGTTTCTCTTGTCGAGAGGAAGTGATGGGATATGCTGAGAGAAATACAGTACTGTGGTAGGGTAAGGAAAGAATATCCTTTTATGTAACTCAGTGCCCTCTCCTTGCCCTTGTCTGCAAGGATCACATAATATAGAAATTCATCCTGAAGGGTAAGAACTTGGGGGGACCCTCCAGTTAGCAGGGATGACATGGTTATCTAGTAAGCAAGCATTAAGCCCATATATTTATTCAAAACTGTACATTTGGCCTTTTATTTCTTTGCTATCCTTTCAGTGAAGTGCTTTTCCTACAATGAAAGGTGTTCTGAAATTCTGCTGCCATGATTCCTTGTAACCAGAAGATGTATACATTTGTTTTAAATGAGAAAGGAAGCACGAATGGCAAGTTGGTATAATATTTTCAAAATACTGTGCTGACTAAATACATTTTCAAGGCTGTAATTCTATACTTCATGACTGCCTGAAAAACAACTCCTGTCATTAAATCTGAAACAAGTTTTGGTGTATTTTTAAGATTCTCATTTTTAAGGCTTTTTCTTGATAATACGCCTAAAGGAGAGCAAAAGGCCAAGTTTGGGAAGAAGAAAGGTAAAGAGGTCTCTGCTCCCAAGAACACCCACAAACAATGTGAAAACCCTAAAGGACAAGCTCAGTCTGTAGATTATGCCCAGATGCTTCCAATTTTTAATTTTTTGAAGATTGAAGGAATTGCTAGGAAAGTAGAACTCATAGAACTCAACTGTATAAAGGATTCATTTTCCTGAAACAGGTCCCTGACCTTATATAACAGAGATCTGCCAAGTCTCCTGGTATGCTGACATTATGAGTTTGCAATGCCCAAGACCAGGGGCTTTAATCTAGAGAAGTTGGTTTTATTTTAGTGTTGAGGGACTAGCTGCCCCTTTGTGCCTCTGTGCTTACCCAGTTTTAATTGACAGGTATGGAACTGCTTAGGTATGTCCTGTTGAAGGTTAACAGTATGTTTCCAAACTTTGATACACAGCCAAATTCGGACAGTTGTAGCCAATGGTTAATAATAATCTGCAACCAAGTTTGGTGATGGGAATCAGATAGCAGAGCAGAGGCAGCAGCAACAGTGATAAAGTCAAGGCACACCAAACTGAAGCAGAACTGGCCTTAAAATTGACAAAATTGAAAATTCTTTGCCATAAGGAGGTCAGGGTTTCAAACAAGGAGTTATATGAGCAGATCAGGAAACCAACAGCAAGAACCTAGGCTGAGCATAAAGGTACCAGATTATGACCAAGCCTAGAGAGCAGACACAGACCAAAAGATAAGGGCTAGAAAGAAGGATTCTAAAGGTGAGATAATAAATAATGAAAGTGCTAATTATGGAGCCCAGTGCCCAGAAAAGGCTGCCCAACACCATAGTTATCAGACTGACATTAGAAATGGTGAGGTTTGAACCTTCCCTCTTGGGTGACCTCAAGCCCTCCCTAGGTGACTCCCAAGCAATAAAGTACTTCTTGTCATTATGGGTACTCCTTGTCCCCTCCCACCACTTTTTGACTTAAAAGTATGTGAAATAAAAGTTTTCATCTGAAAAAATACAAAGACAACTATACTGTCTGCAACTAATTATATCTACCTGTCCATGTTTGTAAATCAATATGCTTGCTTCTTAGCAAAGAAAACTTACACGTGTTGTTCCTAACATCTCCTACAAAACCAACATTTTCCAAAATTCTCCATATAATAATAATAATATGTAAAAAGCATTATTCTGGCATTTTTATTGTAAGTTTTATTGTCAAATTGAAGCAATGAAAACTTGATTTGCTTCAACCCTTTTCTGGAAAATCAACTCAATCGTATTTTTCTTGGCAACAGAAAGTAAACTTGAGTCAAAATAAGTGATTTGGTTTAGTACTATCTCTTGCTTTCTGTATGCATTTCATATGTATGTATGTCTGCCTTTGTTTATAATGCATGTAAATGCTGGTTTTGCACAGTTGGTGGAA